GGAAGGCCTCGAATAATGTACCCTGTACTGCGTCCTCTTTCCGGCCACTCAGGATTCGTTCCAGCATAGGCAAAGTTGATTGGAAGAGTTTCGTCAACTGGCCTTACCGTAAAACATTGCTGATGATGCGACGGTTGGATTATGCGGACAAGTCCTGCAACACCGATTATTCCATGCTGGGCTTGCGTTTGTTCTGCTGAGACAGACGTCTTCGAAGCCTAACTCCACCATTTATTACTTTGATTCGACTCTTTTAGTACGGCGATGGTCAAATGTGCTCTCTTGTCAAATTTTAGGCAAATCGTGTTTTTCGGAGGTATGAAGACCAAGATGGTGTGATCTCTAGTCTGGTCGCAATCTTTTTTAGTTGCATAGACGCTCAGCAAACAACTGATTAAAGGAGAGACTTCACTTGTCTGCTTTATGAGTTTTAGTGTGGTGCTAAGAGTAGCGAGACTCACTGACGATACTGGCTACGATGTCAGCGAAACGGCTGGGCATGTATCAATTCCACGGTCCAACTCTGCAAATGATCATGCATACTTTGGACTCCGGACAAGATACGCCTTACAATAAGACCATGTTGCGTAGACAACGTCAATCAGCATTTATAATTGTGTTTTTTCGTTTTTCCTCGCTTTTACAACTTGGTTTGAGCGTCAGGGAGACCTTGTGGAACGTACTTTGTTCTTCCTCCTCTGCTATTCTATTCATGATGATTTTCAGCGTCGAACCGTTGGTTTGATACATTATCAGACTTTACGTTGACATCATCAACGAGAGGCGCCATGTTCAGCGCAGAGTTAAAACATGTCAAAGTGACAAGAGAAAGCGAAATTTTGTCATGAGAATTGCTTTCATCGGTCAATTTATCGAGATGTAAGCCTGTGCTGATGAGGGTGCCTCTCGCTGACGATGCCGACAACATGTCCGGGGATATACCAAATTTACATTCCGATGCTGAAAGTTATCATGAATTCCATGGCAGAGGACGCAGGACCAGATCCCTTTCACAAGGTCTCCCTGTCGCCCTGACTATGTTGCGAAATTGTAGTCAAGTCATTATTAACAGCTAAATGAGTTTTCGACTAAAACTAACTTCAAGTCATCTTGCTATTTCTATCTACAATCGGGCTTCTCTTTAAAGACAGAAAACTTTTCAGATATTTGCACTAAATACTCAATTCCAAAGTCGAGCTTCTGATCAAGTCTTTTTATTGGTTCTTTAGGTATCTATGACTTCGATATGACATGCAAAATGGACTGAGCACTTTTTACCGACGATCGTGTCTTTTGTCGTTTAGACTCAGAACTTGTGCCATAATTTTTGGCTTGTAATTTTCTTGCTGTCCAGTTTGTTTTAGTTTTTAAACCAACTTTCGAACGTACTAGAAAATGGCATTACCACTCCATCCTACTGAATAGTAGGGATTCTGCTTTTGGCCGTTGAATAACATTCTTTTTTCTTTTTATATCTATTTTCATAACACCTTTCTATCAATTCCTTTATTGTACATTTGATAGACTCTCTATTTACGATCGTATCTCGACCTGCTGCTGGGCATCCCAAGCACTCCCCGAAAATGGCATAGTTTCCAGCCCAACTCGTGTGTCCAGACACAAGCGTCGCGATCCTCATCAAAACTGCGATCTGGCCTTGGATGAATTTGCCACCAGCGGTCTGATTGCAAACTCCAACTCGACCTCTGCCTTCCTCACTACTTCACTAGACGATGAGCCGGCCAGAAAATCGAGTTCATCCTTGAGCTGCACCAGATTACAAAAGTCTCTGAAATGCAGGTACAAATTAATCTCATCATGTCTATACTACTGCTTGAAGGCTTTAAGTAGTAGTTAAAATAAGCTAATTATTTGGCACTTTCTTTACTCATTATGTTGTCCTTGTGAATTCCTGAGAATGGCTCTAATATTTATAAAAATGAACGTATTTTAAAATAGCTTCACTAAGATGGCCATATACTATTCACTA